AAATTATTACATTCAAAAAAACTACTTGCAGTAGATGAAGTACATTATTCAAAAGTTTACATTAACTTTGAATAATAACACGGGAGAAACGGATCCTCTCTTTTCGTCTCTCTCTCTCCTGACAGCCCGTCAGTTTCTCATGCAGCGCGCTAAACAGTGGGCGGGGCTTCAGGTGATCAGAGCTGCGTNGATCCAGCTCTCCTGATCGGCCTTTATAGAGAGCACAGATCAAACTATTAAGAGTGAATATCGGCCGATAATGGCGGCCAATCGATCGGAGCATCGGACATTTTAACCGACAGGGTTTTGAATTTACCGGTTTTTATTCAATTTTACCAGCTAAAAACCGTTAATTACCGGCTAAATGAAATGTCATTGGTTGTACTAGTTCAAATAGTAAATCATTCCAGTGTGATTTTAGAGATTTTTAGTCAGTAAGTAGGCCTAACTGAGATTTCTATATTTTAAAAGCTTCCTATAATGCTTTTGGGGTTTTTCCCACATAGTTTTCTGTGCATGCAGGCTACAATCCCAAAGTTCCCTCTCCTCCNGCATCTTGGGTGAAGTGGACCGGGGGTTAGGCTACAGAATGTTAGGCTAAACCGGGTTCAACAAATTCACCAACCATTGTGAAGTTAGGTTCATATATCAGGCTATACTAAAGGTAGTATTTTGGATAATTATAGTAAACGTTTTTGGGCTGGCAGGGGGATGTTGATTTACTTGATTCCATAACAAAACTTATCGGGCAAAGTTATTTCAGCCGGTATTCGGCGTTACCTTAAATTGGCAAACTCCCCAACCAACTTCGATTGCTGGTGGTTACCGGGAGGAGGAGACGTTGATTTCGGGCTTGATACTTTGGACGGATTTTTTCTGGTGGAGGGGGGGGAAAAGGTTGGGGCCCCCATGGATATTGTCGTTTTGTAAAATGCTTGGGATGGAAGGGGGCCAGGGTGTGGGGTAGTCGGGGAGGTGGCAACAGCTGATTGGGCAGGGGCAGGCGGTTGAAGGTGGGAGGTTGAAGCCGGAGGCCCCAAGGAGTGGCACAGGGCCCCCCACGCCAAACAACCCAAAAACCAACCAACAAGAACCAGGGGGAAACAAACCAAACCAACAAAAGGGAGAGCTGGGGAGCGTTTCCAGCCCGCCACAGGGGGCCGTTACCCTAAAAAAAAAAACTTTCACCCACTAGGTCTTTTACCGGTGCCGGGTAAACCGGAGGGGAGAGAGAGGAGAAGGGGGGGGCAAAGAACGGGGGGAAGGAGAAGTAATTCGGTTTTCCTGATAAAAATGTGGAAGGAGCAGTATGTGCTGCAGGGAGGTTGGGATGCACAACGGGGGGGGGCACCCAGGAACGAACATGGCTAGCTCGGGGGCTTTTTTACTGGGTGAAACCGATGGTCCCGGGACAGGGCTTGTTATTTGTTGGGGGCAAACCTGCAAAAACAAACACAAATTACTGGCGGACCCTGGATTACAAAATTGGGTGAAATCTGGGAATGAAAAACAATACCGAAAAAGAAATAACCCAAGCTTCCCACTTAAACCACAACCGCTCAAAACTAACGGAAAATTCTAAAAACTATACCCCGCAGGGGTTCAAAGAGAGCGGAAAAGGGATTGTTTCAATTCATTTCATTTAAACATTGCATTTAGCTCGTTCGGGCCCCCTTTTACTTCCCAGGCGGACTTACAAATAAGTGCCATTTCCCGACCAGGGTGGAAGGGGAATACAAAAACCTTGAAGGGAAAAAAACACACAAATCAATAAGTGCATCCAGGGTTCAAGAGCTAAAAAAAACTTTGAAGTGGTAACTTTTGCAAACTGTTTAGATAAGGGGGCCAGGCCTTTATTAAGTATATTTAAGTGGCTTTGTTAGTAATTCTATCTCTCGAAGTGGAGTCGATCGAGATGAGTTTTCCAGTCTGAAGAAGATGTGTAAGCTATCTGCTGTCCTGATTTCAATGGAGCTCATTCCACCTCATTTTTGGAGCCAGATTAGCAAACCCCGTGTTTGCTGATGGGAACCTTGGGTCCCCCTCGCAGTGCAGGGTGCAGCGAGCTGTTTGGCTGATGCAGAGCGGAGTGCACGTGCTGGGGTGTATGGTTTAACCATGTCCTGGATGTTGGAAGGGCCAGATCCATTCGCAGCATGGTACGCAAGTACCAGTGTCTTGAAGTGGATTCTAGCAGTTACTGGAAGCCAGTGAAGGGAGCGGAGGAGCGGGGTGGTGTGGGAGAATTTTGGAAGGTTGAAGACCAGACGAGCCGCTGCATTCTGGATGAGCTGCTGAGGTCGGATGGCACATGCAGGTAGACCAGCCAGGAGGGAGTTGCAGTAGTCTAGGCGTTCCCCTGTTTCCCCTCTGTGATCTAATATGACTCGTTTGAGGTATGACCTTAAAAAAAGCCGTTTTTAAGAGCAGAGCTCAAAATTGCTCCTTTCCCTCTGAATTCCTGCCCTTATGTCTCGTAAAACATATCAAATCCTACATTCACTTTTTTAATTGTTATTTTCAAGCAAGTTTAAGCATAAATGTAGAAAAAAAAAAAACCTGCAAGATGCTCTTTAATGATGTTTCATAGCCTCAGATAAAGCCTCTTACCCATCATGTTTCGATGTTTGATTGTGCATTAGAAGTAGTCTATGTGATTGCTGAGTGTATGTCTATTGAGAGTGGTTTTGTGTCTAAAGCCAAGTACTTCTTTCTTGCATATTTGTATTAAACATTTTGTTTATCTCTTTGTTATTTTTTTCATTTATTAGCTGTTATAAAACTGCATTCATCGCCTTAATTAAGATGTTGGGAGTTTGACACACACATGCTTGCACGCATTTGTGCTCTAAAAGTTAGAATTGCCCACATCCTGGATAAAAACAGACTTTAAAAAAAATGTTTGCTGAAGCTAACTCAAGATATTGCACAATATATTGTTTCCCTGACCTCTGGTAATGGTATGAAATGCATCTGATAAGTTGGACTTGATTTAATATGATCTCTAATACAAAAACCAGAGCATTAACTACAAGCCAAAATAATTTGCACACGCAACTACATTTGTTCATTTGTGGAGCATGTCACGTTCAAAGTTCAAATCCACTGGGGCTACTTGCACAGAAAATGAAAGCACTCATTGCATTTTAAGGCACAATGGATAAAAGCAACAAATGGCATATTCTCTGCGACAAGTACAAACAGAGAGTGAGTTTAGAGCGTAAAGTGGAAGCAATTATGTTTTGAACTACATAAAACAGGAAATCATTGTTTGCAAATAGAATTTTCCACAAAATACTAAACACACCTTGATATCCTGACAGCCAGAGAATGAAAAAGAATTGATGGCTCTGGAGTGGAAAGAGTAGGAAACACATGTTGAATTCAAACATGGTGGATTACAGGTTGTGCTATGTGCAGTATTGGAGTGAATGTTTAAACTGCATCCTAAAGAAGTCTTGATCTACATAGGAAGCCATTTGTTTGACAATCCCGAGGCGTTACTCCTGAGGAATCTCTTTCGCTTTTGCATCTATTACTGTTTGACAGATTTAGTTTGGCGATTCAACGTTCTGACTTATGTTAACATTACAATGCAACGGCTGCAGCGTCTGCTGTTTTACTAATGCAGATTAGATGCAGATGCAGAATAAAGTAGATACGTCAGCTACGAGAATCCTCCTTCAGATTATGCAAGTCTTATTACCGTGCCCTCGCACCGCCAGAAAATGTGTCTGCCAGTGTGCTGCTCACTTGATAAGAGGCCAATAAATGCAAAGGTAGATGTCCTCAATGCTTTTTCTTTGACAGGCTGAATTACTTAACTCATTTTCACATGGGGAGTTCTGTTTACATGTTGGTACCAATAAAAAATATAGTACACAGGACCCAATTCCCTCTCCTACCTCAACAGCCTCATTACCCCAACTGAATGTAACATTGAGTGAATGTCAATGTTTCATTGCATATTGAACTGACTCCAGTCAGGCAGGTGAGGTCTGCAGGTGCAGTCGTCAACATCCTGTTCTCTTACTCTTTTGGCTGCTGCTTTTGGATCTTGACTTGCTGGGTGTCAAATGTCAGGCAGTTGTCCATCTGTTGCAAATGTGTCAGCTGCTTCTTAACCCCATTAGATGTGACATAACACGTCACATTCGCTGATTTTAACAACACGTCCTGTTTTTTT